TGCTGGTGTACAAAAATGCCTTTGATTTCTGAATGTTGACTTTGCATCCTGCGGTTTTGCCAAATTCACTTACTAGGTTGAGGAGTTTTTTGGTAGAGTCTACAGGGTTCTCTATGTACACTAGCATGTCATCTGCAAACAATGATAGCTTTACTTCCTCCTTTCCTATTTGGATGCCTTTTATCTCTTTCTCTTGTCTGACCGCTGTGGCTAGGACTTCCAATACGATGTTGAAAAGAAGCGGTGAGAGCGGACATCCTTGGCGTGTTCCCGATCTTAGCGGGAAAGCTTTCAGTTTTTGCCCATTGAGTATGATATTGGCTGTAGGTGTTTCATATATGGCCTTTATTACGTTGAGGAATGCCCCATTTATTCCCATTTTGCTGAGTGTTTTGATCATAAATGGGTGCTGTACCTTATCGAATGCTTTTCCTGCATCTATCGAGATGATCATGTGGTTTTTGTCTTTTCTTTTATTTATGTGATGTATCACGTTTACTGATTTGCATATATTGAACCATCCCTGCATCCCTGGGATGAATCCCACTTGATCGTGGTGGATAATCTTTTGAATGTATTGCTGGATGCGGTTTGCCAATATTTTGTTGAGGATTTTAGCATCTATGTTCATCCGTGAAACTGGCCTGTAGTTTTCTTTCTTTGTAGGGTCTTTATCTGGTTTTGGGATCAGGGTGATGCTGGCTTCATAGAAAGAGTCTGGGAGTCTTCCCTCCTCTTGGATTTTTTGGAATAGTCTGAGAAGGACAGGGGTTAGCTCTTCCTTAAATGTTTGGTAAAATTCTCCTGTGAAACCGTCCGGCACTGGGCTTTTGTGTGCCGGGAGTTTCTTGATTACTGCTTAAATTTCCCCAGCTGTTACTGGTCTGTTCAAGCTTTCTGTTTCTTCCTCCTTCAGTGTTGGAAGATAATACTTTTCTAAAAATTTGTCCATTTCATCAAGATTTTCAAATTTCTTGGCATATAATTGTTGATAGTAGTTTCTGATGATCATTTGTATTTCTGTGGTATCAGTTGTTATTTCTCCTCTTTCATTTCTGGTATTATTAATTTGGGTCCTCTCCCTTCTATTCTTGATGAGTCTGCTTAAAGGCTTGTCAATTTTATTTATCTTTTCAAAGAACCAGCTTCTGGATTGGTTGATCCTCTGAATTGTTCTTTATGTCTCTATGTCATGTAGTTCTGCTCTCATCTTGACTATTTCCTTCCTTGCCCTTGCTCTGGGATTTATTTGTTGTTGTTTCTCCAGTTCTTGAAGTTGTAGTGTTAGGTCTTTTGTTTGAAATGTTTCTATCTTTTTTTAGGTAAGCCTGTATTGCTCTGAACTTCCCTCTCAGGACCGCTTTGCTGTGTCCCATAGGTTTTGGACTGTTGTCTGTTCATTTTCATTTGTTTCCAGAAATTTTTTTTATTTTTTCTCTTATCTCACTATTGACCCATTCATTGTTTAATAGCCTACTGTTGAACTCCATGAGTTTGCAAGTTTTTGAGGTTTCTCTTTGAGGTTGATTTCGAGTGTCAAGCCCCTGTGGTCTTAGAAAAAGTTTGGTATTATTTCAATTTTCCTGAATTTGCTAAGGTTTGCTTTGTGTTCTATCATGTGGTCTATCTTTGAAAAACTGCCATGAGCATTTGAAAAGTGTGTATTTTTCTTCTTTGGGATGTAGGGTTCTATATATGTCAGTTAAGTCTCTTTGATTCAGTGTGTCATTCAGCGCCACAATATGTTTATTAATGTTTTGTTTGGTAAAAGCTTTTTGGTTTGTTCTTTTCAGTCAGTATTCAATAGAGTCCATATGTTTCAGTTGGTAGATAGGTGTTTAAATCTTTTCATAGTATCTACACCTTTATGTCTCTAGTGTTATGTCTTTGCCATTTGGTTTTGGGTTGTTTACTCTCATTTTCCACAGTCTCGATTGTGTTGATTGCATTGTCATCTGGTTTGGTTTTACTTTTTTTTTTTTTTTAAATTGCCCATTTGCCTTGTAAAGTTGGTAGTTAGATGAGAAATTTACTCAGGTGTGGGTTCGGTTCTTTTGGAAAGACCGTGGTCTGTGACACTTGTCTTCTGTCTTTGGGAAGCCCATGTATCTCCTGTCTTTGTTTGGTGACGTTAGCATCTGGTGATCGGTGCTTATTGCCAGGATCCACTAGTCCCTCGGGGGAGACGAAATGGTAAAATGCTCCCATAAACATCTCTTCTACACTTACTAGTAGGATAATTTTCTAAAGAAAATCATCTTCACTCTACTTGGATCTGTGGTTCATACAAGAAAGACAATTTCCAAAATACTGAGCAGGCTCCTGAGTGACAGAAGTTTATATCTGATTCATTCTGTTATTGTTATTAGCTTATAAGTTTAAGTGAATTTTCAGTACTTTGGTGTGTTGAAGCCGTTACTCTTTTTGCTGTTAAGTGTGTCCATCTTTGAGTCACTTCACATTAGTTCCTGAGGCCTCTTGAAACTCCCCATAGGTTAACATTGAGCACATTCTCTTTAATTCAACCTTTAATTTTGAAAAATGTTCAGACGGACAGAACAGTTCCAGGGGTCGCACACAGAGCTCCCATGCGCCTTCTGCGCAGACACTGTGTGGAGAGGACTCTCCACCTGCACCCTGAGCTCGACCGTCCCCTTACTTTAAGGACTGCCTGTCATGTCGCCGCTGCACGAGGTGCCCCGTAGCCCTGGTCCTGTCCCTACCTTGCGAGCTTAAGTCTTAGAATCAGTGGCCACAGATGACTCTGACAAATCAGGGAAAGGGCTGTATCATGCTCACTTACAAGTGACACCTTTAGTTCAAAGGATAGTGCACAGAGTTCTGTGATAACAGAGAAGATTAGCCTGGGACCTTCCTGCCCGTTGGAGGAAAAGACAAAGCGAACCACACCGAGCACACAGCCATGTTCTCTCTTTGGCTTCCCGCAGTTACTCACGTGTGAAATGCTGCCCGCGTGTCCGGAACTGGTGCACCTCCTGTGCTATTCCAATGGCCCGTGAGCACCCCAGTATGTCACCGCCCACTTCCTGGGCTTCCTCGGGGTCCCCCGCCACAGCTCTGGCCTAAAACGTTCCTGCCCCCACACCTGTTCACCGCCCCCGCTGCCTGAGCCCCGACAGAGCCCCCGGCCACGCTCGCTGTGTTGTGAACCGAACACTGTGGCTGGCCCTTGACTCTGTTTCCTCGGAGGAAGCTCCTACATCCCCGGAACTTCCTGAGAGACAGGAGGGTGTGCGTACAGCGCCGGGCCGCTCGGAGCACCCCTGGGTTGGTGCTGAGGGGGTGAGCGAGGGTGGGGGCCAGTCAGGCGAGAAAGACCAACCCTGTGATGAGAGGTCGGGGGTTAGAGCCCCGTCTCTGGGGAGCAGAGGGGGCTGGAGATGGAGTTCAACCGCGTGGCCAGGGAGAGAGAAAAATCGCATCTTGATGTCGCGCCCCCAAGGAGAACCCGAGTCACCAAGTCTCCGATGAGCGTCTACGGTGGGTGAAACGCATCTGTGTGCTGCGAGGGAGGCACGACCTGAGGACACGGGAGCTCGACACCTGGGACCGTCGCAGCGTCCTCGGGCCACGTCATCTCCCAGGACGCTTTGCGTTCCTCCGCGTCCTCTGTTCAGGGCTCGGCTCCCCCTCCTCCCCGCCCATCCCATTTCACAGCCTGAGCGCGTCCTCTCTTCTCTTTTTCATTTTTCTCAGAATTTCTCCAGTACTCGCATCTCTTTCCCATGGTTCCCCCATGGTTCCCCCCTCCCCACAGGCTCTAGATTGTCCTTCGACCACATGAAGCTGGAACTGGAGGCTGTGAAAAGAACTCCCGTTGGGGTTAAGGTAGTGTGCACTGTGTGTGTTCCCTGGTGCCGGTGCGTCCGCTCGTCACAGCCGTTTCCAGCAAAGCGCACCTTGTTGAGTCACCTGTGCTTTGTTTTGAATGTCAGATTATTGCCTAGGTGCCCGCGGCGCTTTCTCCTTCTCTCTGCCCTTCCCGTTCTCCTGCCTCCATGTCGTGCCCTTCTTTCCTGCGCTCAGACTCGAGCTGCGGGTCTGCCTCAGCCTCTTGGTTTTTCCTCCCGGCGTGGGAAACAACTCAGGATTATTTTTCAGAGCTAAGAAATTCTCTGGTTGATTAACCACGACCCCATTAAGCTACACAGCCACTCGACAGTGGACAGCTGATCAATCTGGGACAACCACACACAGCACGAAGGTGAGAATTTCCTCTTTATTATATTTGCTCAAGACATGCATTGCACTGCGCTCTTTAATGATCTAAGGTAACAGACAAACATGTCAGCCAGTCAAGTTATTAACAATTACAACTGAATTCTCACAATTCAATAAGAGAGACCAAACAGAAAAAAAGAACCTTATATTGACAGGAATATGAGGGACCTGCCCACTTAGTTATAATTGATACTCTATAACATATAAACCCCCCAAAACCCCTCCTGATAATGTAACCAAAACTACACTTACATCTGTATGACAGCTATGATAGTCACCGAAAACCCTCAGTAGGAACAGCGTATTTTCTAAACTACGACTATTGCAAAACTATTTAACATAAACATATAAATTTTAAGTAATAAATATATAAACATTAAATATGAGAATAAATATAATAATCTTACAGGAATATTTCCAAAATAAATTAATAAAAATTATTGCATACATTCTCCTATCACAATCTTAAGGCACAAATTTTATGCTCCTAAATATTTCCTTCTTCTGGGGGCCCCGCAACTCCATCTTCCGATGGCCGTAGACTGTTGGAACCAAGTGTATGAGAACGAGGTCCTCCAGCTGCTGCTTCAGGGGGGATGTGAATTAAACGGTCTGAAATTATGGGTGTCGACTTAGGAAGGGACAAAACCTGAAAAAAAAACCCTGGTTTCCTATTGTCCTTTAACAGAGTCTGAGAAGTGTTGCGAAGAGCAGGACACGATGACTCTCCAGCTCATTCAGGGATATTCTGGGCTCTGCTAGATTTTCTGCACGGGAGACTCCTCTTTCCCTTCCTCACGCCTGTCATTAGCACCTGGGTTGACTTCCTGCTGAGGACTGGAATCTCCCCTGGGCTCAGCGACCTAGAAGGAATGGAAGCAGACAGGATGTCACATTTCAAGAAGGCAACTCTCCAGGTAGAAAGATTGTCTAAATGCTCAGTCAATTCTAACCAGAGTTTAGACTAACCTACAAATCCAAATTTATCTCTGATCCTCCATTCTCAACCCCCATCTCACACTGCTGTTTTTCAAGAATGATTGTTGAAGTTTGATGACCCTGAGTCCAAAATTACTTCATAGACCCAGTTACCTCCTTCCTGTCAAAGACTTGAGGTGATTCTGTTCAGGGAGCAACAAGCAGACTTAGGGAGAGTCCTGCTTTGCCTTACTCACACCTCGTCCCTCTGTACGAACGAAAATCTGAACTTGCAACCACACTACAAACATCCCTGACACGTCACCATCGCACACCATGGTGCTGGAAGCCTGCTCCCTAACTCTAACCCTGGATTCTAATGTTTAACCATAACACCTACTCTAAACTTGGCTAGTGCTGCAGTCATGGTGCTTGTGTGCCCCCAGATTCATGACCCCTGGGGCGATGGAGGCTCAGCTGGTTGCAGCGTTGTCCCATACACCGAAGGGTTTGGGGTTCGAACCCCAATTAGGGCACGTACCTAGGTTTTGGGTTGGATCCCTTCTCACATTTATTTTTCTCTCTCTCTCTTCCTTCCTCTCTAAAATCAATAAACATTTCCCGGGGAGAGGATTTACAAAAAGAAGTAGTGGGGGCCTTCGGGAGGTGATTCGGTCATTGGGTAGAGCGCTTATGGATGCGATTATTGCCTGCCTAAAAGACCCCAGGGCAACGCCACGCCCCTTGCACCATGGAAGTGCCCCGCGGGGAGGTGTCCGACCACAGCACAGGCGAGGGTCCGTCTTCACCAGAACCCATCCGTGCCGGCACCTGACCTCACACCTCCGGTCTCCAGATCAGAGAGGAGTAAAGGTCTGCTCTTTATAAGCCTCCAGTCTGTGATCTTTTGTTGCAGCTGCCAGAATGGTCTCAGATGGGTAGTTGGCAAGGTTGAAACCAAACCTTTGCTTAAGGCTCTGCCCAAAGCTGTAACTCTCACGTGTCTGTCACAGTGAACCATGTTGGAGCTCGTATTTCTCAACCTTCGCTCCTGCTGACACACTTCCCGGAGCCTGAACTTGAGGGGGAACGTGTACTTGTTCAGCAGGGGAGAAGGGTGAGCCAGGGGAAACGGAGAACATGCCTGTGACGTGGCCACAGGCAATTGGTTTGAGAGTAAATTTAGACGAAAGCGGCGCTGGTCATGATTTATCTGTCATTTTTGGATATAGAGACGGTTCCCTCTCAGATCCTACTGCTGTCACACATTTGTTTTGTTGTAGGCAGGTCCCTAGAGCTGGTACTCCCCAGGGGCGACAGGCCCATTGAATTAACAACAGGAAGTCAACACAGAATATATGGAAAATTTGGAAACGTATTCACTTTTCCTAAAACTCAACATTTCAACAAAGCTGTTATTTGGACCCAGTTGCTTTGAAAATGATTTCAGCCAAATCATGAGGCCTGGCACCCCCACACGCCACCGAGGTTCCTGGGAGCGGTTGTCAGCTTGTGGCTGGGAGCCGACTCGGTGCCCGGTTGTGTGTCTGCGGAGGTACTTCACAGTGTGTGGAAGGGTGATGGGGAGGGCTGGGGTCGATGAGCGTGGGTCTGGCAGTTCAAGGTCTTGGATTTCCTAAAGGGACAGCCAATTATTCCATCTGTATGTACCTGTGCAGACACAGCCCTACCTTCCTGCACACCTACCTGAGGCTCCACGATCTCAGAAAGGAGGGTGCGATCTCGTCCCCACACCCACAGCTCGGGGTCAAAGGCCTGGATCTGGAAAGACAAACAGCCCCTGAGCAGACGATGACTCTGTGGGTGGACCCCGTCCCTCTGCTTGTCCAGCCCCCGATCCCAACTGCGATCCCCCACGATCCCTTCTCTCTCCCTTCTGGCCCCCCTCCGCCAGATCCCCACAGTCCACCTACCTCTTCGCACTCTTCCTTGGTGACCCACGCCCTGTAGCCCATGCAACGAAGGAACTGAAATCGCAGTTTGTGGAACAAGGGACGCCGGGCCCAGTTGTTGTCCCCATAGAGGAAGGAAAAGATGGCCTGTTTAGGGGCGTGGTAGTTCTCTTCCATGTCAAGGGCCACGTAGCTGGGGAAAGCCATCAGGGTGTCAGTCGGGAGCAGGACAGGAAGGACCCCTGCTGAGGTCAGCCTCCCAGGAAAGACACAGACTGGATCATCCTCACGCAGGACCCACAGGAGCCCTATCGGGTGTCACAGAGTGCCACCCCGTCATCAAGAAGCCCCTGCCGAGAGCTGGGAGCTGCAGAACCCTGTCCTCCCTTTATGATGTAGATCAGGTTCAGTGGGGAAGCCGCCCCCTTCCTGTAACCTGCTGTGCGCGCGCATGCCTGCCCCCCTGTGGTGTGAGTCCCTAGGGCGCTCCTGAGGGCAGGGACCAGCCGGTCCATTTCAGTGCTCATCACTTTCCCATCACATGACCGATAGAGCCCTTGGTTCCTTGGCGCACTCAGCAGCCCCTCTAGAATAATCTTCCCAGCCTCACGTTTCCGGGCACCTGAGGTGCCCTTCATAAGGTTTCCTAGAATGCAGGACGGAGTGCTGTGTCTCATACTCAAGTGCCAAACCGATGACCTCAGAGACTCAATATAACTGAAACTTTGCAACATGAAAAGAAGTGTGCTGAGTGTTTTAGGAAGCCATTGATGTTCTGACAAGGCTGCCCTTGACTGTCGTCTCGTGGAATGGGATTAAAGGAGGAGAAAGGTGGACATAAGGAATAACTGTAGTCCAAAATGTCACATTGCAGTAGCTTTTTTAATTAAAGTGCTACTGGGGTACAGAATTCAGGGGGTCTGAAGACTTTGGTGTTTGAGTTCGTTTTAAGAGGAAATCATTTCTTTTAGTTACATATGCGTAAAAAATACCACGACAGAAAACACAATATGAAATCAGGGAAGGGTGTTGGGCAGGGCAGCGAAACAAAGAATGATACATCAGAGTGGTGAGTGAGTCTGATGGAGATGGTAGAGAGAGCTGACTTCAAACTGAGAGCTGTGGCCGTGGTTTAGAACAAAACTTGCGATTGAAATTGTTGGGAGGAGTTTGTGCAGAGGCCAGTTCTGTGTTTCAGAAGTATATTCAGAGAGACTTGTAAGAGACATCCCTGGGGATCGTTGTTTTTTCTCCTCTCCCGAGGATATGTTGACTGATTTTAGAGAGAGGGGGAGGGAGAGAGAGAGAGAACCATGGATGTGGGAGAGAGATGTGGATGGGTTGCCCCCTGCTGGAGCCCTGACCGGGATCGAACCCACAACATTTTGTTGCACCGGGCGACTCTCCAAACAACTGAGCGATCTGACCAGGGCCTTGGGGAGCCTTGCACAATAGACCAGTGTTACTAAACGAGGGCCTGAATTGCGGAGAAACAGCATTACATTTGGCAGTGTCACAAGGTAGGGGCAGGGGGAGAGAGAATTTAGAAATGGTCAGTCTCACACCTATTCATTTGGGGGAGGGGTTGAGTCAACCCTTTATGAGGCTTTTATGTTTTTTTTCTTCATCCGTCCCTTAACTGATGCTAGGGTTGTTGGCTTTTACCAAGCACAGTATAACAAACACTGTACTACAATCCTATCATGCGTATACACAGAGCACACAGGAGAAATGTTTTAAGAAAACAGATGAAAGGTTGGAGGCCCACTCCTCTCCCTGCAGTCCCCAGAGGATGAGCGGTGACCGAGGAGATTCAGCACAATACTCACAGGGCCAGGAAGAAGTGAACTCGCTGGAACTGCCAGGAGAAGAGGCCGGCTCGGCTGAAGTAAGCGATGACCATCGCCAGCAGGTACTGGTGGAAAGAGGGGCAGAACATTGCAAAGGGCTCACATTGCGAAAGAGGAGGAACGGAGGGAGGAGGGAAGGGCTGACGCCCCCGGGATGGCCAGCGCTGGGGGTTTCAGGGCGTGAGTGCAGGAGGCCGGCATCGCGGGGGTGTGTGATAAGCTGGAGCAAGGGGGAGCCCCAGGAGCTGAGAGAAGAGGGGCCTCGATGTGCCCACAGCCACAGGGACAGCCTTGGGCTCAGATCCCAGAGGAGCCGGGCCAGAGGCAGGGCTGCCATCCCCTCGGCAGGAAAGGCCTGGGTCCCCGAAGGGACGTGGTGACACGGCCCCTGGGTGGACTGGGAACAGTGGACTCAGGAAGCTGCCCCTGCCCCAGGGTCTTAGGGGGAGCAGGGACACCTCTTACCTTATCTGACAGCCTCAGGCTTCTGTCCCACTCAAGGAACCCCTTCACGACTGGATCCTCTGTGAAGAGAGGGCAGGCGTTAGCCTTACGGCGGGAACAGGGTTGCGGTGGGAGCGTTCTGGGGCAAAGCGGGGAAGGTTCCGGATTGTGGCCAAGGCTGAGGCTGATAGGAAGAGCGACAGAGGAGACTGGTCCCCAGGTAAGGAAGCAGGGGCAACGCCACCCCGACCCAGCCAGGCGGGGGTCCGAGCGACAGGTAGGGTGTCAGCTGCACATCTGCACGACTCAGGTCTTAAATAATCTGTGCTGCCCCCTCGTCACCCAGAAATGTGCCCCTGCCGATGCCGTCGCCATTCCATCATTTTCTCGATGGACAGTCACGTCAGAGGGCGACGGCGGCCTCAGTGTCCCCCCCTTACAGCGATGCAGATATTTAGATTCAGAGGGCCAGTCAGATCTGAGAAGTCTCAGAGGGTCTGGTTGAAACCAGGCCTTGTAATCCCAAGTACGAACCCTTTTCACGTCGACCTTAATCTTGTGTCACCTCTAAGTGTCCTTGATGAGCGACCAATAGGGAGTCCCCCTGGACAGAGAGCGCACCCACCTGCAGGGAGTTCTCTCGTGTTGGGAAAGTATAGTTATTAAAAGATTTTTTTAAGGTTTGGAGGGTAGTCTCCGGGGTATCTGCTTACTGAGCAGCCTGGCGAAGGCCTCATGGTGTTCTGGCAGCACGGAGGATAGGCGCTGCTTCTTCAGCGTCATTTTCAGGCCATGCGGTGTCTCTGCGACGCAGGTGTTTTTAGGCCCAGGGGCGGTCTCCTCCTCTTCCTCCTCTCCCTCCTCTTCCATGGACCACCCCCTCTTCCTCTTCCGGCCTGTGGATGGGGGCAGGGGGCTGGAATCCACACAGGGGGCTGCGAAATATACCCAAGGTACAATATAAGGCTTTTTTCCTCTGGATTTAGCTACTGCTCCCCTAAACCCCACCCCCACTCACCCCACCTATCCTTTCCTCAGAACATACCCCTCCGTTCTCTCCCCTCTCATAGACTAGTGGCCTTCTGCGCACCATCTTTTCATCTTGCTCCTTTGGTGATGTCCACGCCCCACCCCCATTCACCTTGCCGTTGTTCTATGTCTCTGTCCTCAAAACTCTTCTTTGTTTGAGGCCACTTCCCCCATGGAAGGAGAACAAAAGGATCCCTCATCGTGTCCTCCCTCCCCTTCTCTCGTCTTTGGTCTCATCTCCTAACTCCCCTTCCTTCCTCCCAGGTTTTCCTCCCCAGCTCCTGCTGTCTCCTCTAGTCCCTGGCTTTATGAATCTCTCCTTTCTTTCCCACACACCTTACTCAGGTCCCCTTGTCTCCTTAATGGTCACCCTTGTCTAATCCCTATGCCCTGTGTTTCCTCACCTGATCTTCCTTGGTTGCCCTGAACTACTCTCGCCTCGAGGAGGGATCCCGAGGTCCTAGGCTTGGGGCTTATGTTGTCTGACTCGAGACTCGGATCATAGTCAGCCATGATTTCTTTCAAAGTCTTCTCTTCCAGGAAATCTGGGCGATCACCGGACTGGAGAGAAGAGACTGTTGTCCACCTTCGCTGCCGGGTGCCACGGAGTGTGATCCTTCCAATCAGGACGGCCGGAATCCTGATGTCATCAGTCATTCCAACGTGGCAACCAGTTTGAAAGATTCAAACATATACATGTAACTGCCAAATGCATAACTGCCGTACATACATGTCACTGTCATTTGTGCACTGCTCCTGGAGATGAGGGGTAAAGAATATCTCCTGCTACCGGCCCAACAGCCTCAGACCAGCCCCTAGAACTATCCTCACGTGTCGGCATCGCTCTTTACCTCCTCCCCAGCAGACGCTCTGTTCTCTCCATTGAGAACTTCAACTGTGTTGGGATGTCTTCTTTGCCGTTCCCAACACAGAGTGTAGCCTGGTGGGAGAGGAGTGGGATAATGGTGTAAAAAAGTTCCAGGGTCCATGGACTTGTCAGGTTAACAAGTTACTGTAAAACACTGAATGGTGCGCTGACTGTGGCGAGGTAAAGTTGGTTGAGCCACGACCCTCAAAGTGAAATTTTGCTGGTTCGATTCCCGGTCAGGGTTGCTGACCGGTCCCTGCCTGAGGGCCTGTGCGACCGAATGTTGTTTTCTCTCAGACATCATTGTTTCTCTCCCTCTCTCCCTCCCTTCCCCTCTCTCCAAAAATACATAAATAGAAATACTTAACAATCAATTTAGAGCGGTACAACCACTTCGGAAAACAATTACAACGACAAACATAGAATTTGGCAAAGTTCGATGTTTACAGGCACCATGTCAGGATTTTGTAGCAGGGACACGCATCCTCTACCCTCAGGCACCTTTTATTCCAAGAGACATTGTGAGGACCTAAAACCCTAGAAAGCTGTACGTATGGTCACATGCATCTGATGGTGCCTACAATTTCAGGGAGTCTAGGAATCACCCAAAGCCTGCCCCTCAAGTCCAGCTGAGAAACGCCAGTCCACACATCAACATTTTCAGCCTGTGCATCTCTCTCGGGCCACAGATTTCACTACCACTCGCGTGTCCTGTGCAGAAAATGTCGCACGCACAGAAAGGCTAAGTGGAATGATCTCCAGTTCAAGACAGAACAGGGTGTTCTCTGTGAAGGTGGGCAGTGCAGATGCAGAAAAGTGGCTCACCAGCTCGGTGTCCTGCAGGATCAGGGACGATTTTTCTGGACTGCCTGCCAACCTCTTCCCTCTGCTATTCACCTGAGCATTGAAATGTTTCCTTCCTTCTTTTCATCCTTCCTCCCACCCCAACCTCCCTCCCTTGCTCCCTCCCTTTTCCTTCCTCCCCTTCCTTTCCTTCTTTTCTTTCTTTCTTTCTTAAACACCAATGTGTAAGAGATACACACATCTGGTTCCTCTTGCATGCCCCCATCTGAGGACCCTGCTCACAACCCAGGCGTGTGCCCTGACTGGGAATCAAACTGGCAACCCCCTTTGGGTCCCAGGCCAGCACCCCACCGCTGAGCCACGCCAGCCAGGGCCTTCCTTTCTTTCCTATGGTGGTGAAGGAACATAACAAATTTGCCATTTTAAACATATTAAAGGTTAAATTCAGTGGCAATGAACACATGCACATTGCTGGGCTGTAGCCACCACCAACCATCTCCAGAACTTTTCCATCTCCCCAAACTGAGACTCTGCACCCAATAAATACGAACGCCTCATCCATCTCCCCTAGGTCGCGGAAGCCACCATTCTGCTTCCTGTCCCTGTGGACTTGACTACTGTAGGGACCCCATGTCAGTGGCCTCATATAGTGTTTGCACGTTTCTTCCGGGCTGAGCATAACGTCCTCAAGGTCAAGCCATGCTGTAGCCTGTGTCAGCACTTCCTTCTTTTGCTTGCGTGAATAGTGTCCATTAGGTAAACCGTATTCCGTGTTTTCACCCGTCTGCCCATGGACACCTGGGTTGTTTCCACCCAACACTCCCTGAGTGAGCCCAGTTTCCCCAGCCCCAAATAGCTTCCCAGCTGGCCTTCGTCAGCGCCCCAGGGCGGGAGCTGCCCAGGCTCCTGTTAACGCCGAGGTCCCCAGGAGCAGCCTGCTCATTCCCCACAGTTGGGGTGTGGGGGGTGTTCTTAGCACCCAGGACTGGGGTCAAGAACAGAGTAAGGGAGACATGGTGACCCCCCTTCACTTTGGCTGAAAGTGGACCTATGACCTCTCCGAAAAGGACCTTACGTGTCTGTCCTAAATCCATCTTAGAAGATGTTGGTTTCCACATTCTTTAGCACTTTCTACCCAGTTCTCCATTGAACGCAGACCATGGGATGTGTTCTCACCACGTACCTCACCCAGGAAGTGAGGGCCACGCTTCTGCATGGAAACATCTGTGGTTCGGGACCGAGAAACAGGCAGGCAGTGGAGCGGGCTTCGCTGTGGGCCAGGCGGCCGTCTGTGCACTCAAGTGCCACAAGCTTTCTTCCAGGTCTGGGGCTAGTTGGTGTCCCTTTCTGTATCCTGTCTTTTCTGTGGGTCCGTTCCCCTCAGGGTGCCCTTTTGAGGTGCCCCTCCTCATGTGGCTGGGCCACCAGCCCGGGCAGAGGGCAGCACTTCTGCAGAGCGGCTGACTCTGCGGGGAGGCGTGGGGCAGCCTCAGCCCCTGTGTCTGGGCCGCTCTCATCGTCTCGTCATTCCTTCGTCCCAGCCGGGACTCTGCACACTATGACCCCGTGGCCGTTTGGGATGGCCGATTGGCTAGTGTTTCTGGGTTAGCATTTGCCCACCTTTGGGGCATTTCCTGGCAAATGCTCTAAGATCGTCAAGGGCCGTCCCCTTTCTGCAGGATGATTCTGGGTGGCTCAGCCCTGCCCCCCCAGCTCTTGCCCCCGACCCGCGCCTGCCTCAGCGAGCCTCCAAGAGGCTGCTGTCGGACCCGTCTGCCCTGCCGCATTTCATCCCAGTTCTGCCGACTCCTGGCACCCACTCCCCCTCTCCTGTGGGCCTCGGGCTTCCCCCCTGCCCTCAGCCACGGTTTTCACCCCAGCTCCTGCCTCCTGCCTTGCTGCCCCCGGCCCTGGGCCCCACGGCAAGGCTGATGTGCTCCGGACCGCCCGCTGCTCCTTCCCCTGCATGTTCAGACCTTGCTTTCTTCTCTTGCCTTGGCTTCACATCCCACCAACCTAGGAAGACGTGTGTCTCCAGAGGAAGTGAGTCGGGGAGGCCCGAGAGGTCCTGTCTCATGGAAATGTTACCCTTCCCGTCCTCTCGTCTCGCGGGCAAGAACGATACCTCTCTGAGTCTGGCCAAGCCCAGAGTTCCAGAGGCAGGAAGCTCCCTGCTCCCCCATGCTCCTTCCACCCTTTGTCCTGTGGGAGCCCACCGGGTCCTGGCCCCACCCTCTGTTCCTCTGTTGTTCACTGCGAGCTCAGTGTCTCAAATCTCATCAGAGTGTAGCTTGGGGGGGATTAAGCCTCCCCGTCGCCGTTGGTGTCAGAGTCAGAACCAAGCCCTCGCTGCCGCAGCCTCTGAGTGCATGCCCCCAGGAAGGTTCCGTGGCTCTTGTGGACGGCCAGGCGGCTTTTCTGGGTATCTAATATGAGCGGTTCTTATCTTTGATCACTGCTTGTTTGAGTTTTCTTAGGCCGTTTGATAATATTACCTGAAAGCAGCATAAAGAACACTATTCTCTCTTTAGGGCTTGGGAGCTCTCAGAATAGCGCTCTGGAGGCGGGCAGGTGCACACAGGTCCCGGGCATTACAGGCTGGGACACCCAGAGCTCAGCACACGTGGCAGCTAAGGGCCCCATGGAGTGCGTCTCGGCTCTGGGTGGACGGGGTGGCGGGGCCCTGCTGGAGGCTGTCCTGTGGAGGGGACGTCTGGGCACAGGCAGGCAGTGGCTGTACACGCAGACCCAGGGAAAAGCCCCAAGATGGAAAAATGTACGTCTGAAAGCGAGGGCAGGGAACAGACTGAAGAGAGAGGCTGGCCACTCCCGTCTAGCAATCAACGTAGTTTATTAGGGGAAACTTATATATGAGGTGTGTCTGGGGCAGCTGCAAGATGACAAGGATCTCCTGCCACTTAGCAGGCACCAAAGAATTATTCAGGAGAGAGGGGTGATAGTCACAGGGGCTAATCTGCGAACACTGCCAGGCACGGGAAATTACATGCTTGGCCAGGTCGGAAAGGCCACCTGCAAGGGCTATGCCCTGCCCCCGTGAGAGGGGAAGAGTCTATCTGAGAAGGTGATGACCTGTCCGAGGTGTCCGGTCAGTAGGTGGGATTGTAAGAGGGCTCACGCTCCCAGGCCACGCGTTGTGCCCGCTGCAATGCAGTTAACGCAAGGTAGGTTTCTTAGGAAGAGGCGCTTTGAGCAGAACACACAAGTTTGTACAAATAATTTACTTAGCCATGCTTAGGTGTATCCTTTTACTCAGAGCATCCTGGGCACTTTCTGATCATAAATTGTGGAAAGAGTAAGAAAATTGATGACTATAACAAAATTTCTTTTGTCATCCTATGTTCGATTATGGAGGACTATTTCAATAGGCTTTGCTATTTACTCACTCATGAGAAATGTGTCCACTCAGTCACCACAGAACCATGTGGGAGCTACAGACATATGGGTGGGTGCTCCCTCATCATCCTTCCAGTCACTTCTGAAGGTTTCAAGAGACAGTCTCCCATGGGTGTCTGTCACAGAACTTTCTAGTGAGTTCTGATGCAGGATGAGCACTCCTGGGCAGGCCAGACCTCTCATAACTCCATTGCCTTCCTTTTCCTTCTCCAGAGGTACCTCCACTTGTATGGCCCTCCACGTCTGTCCAAGAACAGCAGAAAACGAATCAATGTCTGTAAGTTTTTCTGGTTATGTGGGTATTCCCTAGTTTGTTTTATGATATGCCTTAGGCGGTGTGTAGTTCAAACTTCAAAATGGGAAAGTAGAGCCAGATAAAATTTATGCCTAAAGAAACATAGAGTAGCAGGTCAGCCCCAGGCATTTCTGTCGTTTTTTGGTGTGGGGGCGGGTGGCATGATCCTTGAGAGCTCTTCAAGTCAAAGTCCAAGTGCACCTCCCGTTCTTGGCATTCGTCATAAAAAAAAAAGACAAATACCATCCAACCAGCGGATACACTTTTGTTTTCTCA